AAGGACCTATACAAATGTTAACAGTTCTACAATGTTTACTTTGCTTGAAGAAACTTCCATTATTTTTGGAATTGAGTCCAAATTTCTTACTCTGGCTTTCAAAGGCAACAAAAGGTAAATCAAACCAGTTGTTCCAGGCTGTTCACTGTTCTTGACATGCTGATTTCTGTGTCTACATTTTCAAGCTTGCTGGTTCCCCAAGCCTTTCCCCAATTCAAGGCTCTTTTTGTGTCCTGCCTCCTCCAAGCAGACTTCTCAGATAATGTCCGTCTAGTCTACATTGATCTTTTTCTTTTCTGACCCTGACCTCTCATATCCCTTTCAAGGACAAATAGCTCTTCTTCCCAACTTGGTTATAAATTCCCTGAGGGAAGGAGCAATGTCTTATTTTAAGTGTATGTGTTATGTCTGCTCAACATATGAGAGGTCCTTGACACACAAACAGAGGCTAGTGAGTTTTCCAATTTCCCCCAGTCTCACCCTACTGCTGGGCACATGCTGGGCCTTCAGGAGCACTTGTGGATTTGTTTTAGATGTGCACAGCATCTGCTCGAGTGTTCAGCACACAATGAGCACTCCATAAATTGTATTTTTAGAGACAATCTGTTACCACATAAGGACTACCAGAAATTACTCATACTCTCTGTGTAAATGGATTTATACAATTATAATGTTTAGGAGCTGGAATAAGGATCAGGGAAAGAAAATCGTGAGACTGTTTTTCAAGCTGAAAGGAACAATAGACCTTCTAGTCCAAATGTTTTCACTGGTATGTCACAGAACAGGTGTGAGGTTTGTTGAAAATAATTTGTTATTAATGATAGTTAATGTGTCAAGTTTGCAAATGATTTACTATTTTTATGAATTAAGCAGCTTCCAGGTTTTCCCAGTAATAAGCTCATTTTAGTCAATTGCTTTCTTGAGTAGGAAGGCTAAGTCTGACTACTGTCTTTTTCAGATGAGGAAACTGAGCCTCAGAGATGAGAAGGAACTGGTCCAATGTCACATGATGAGTTAGCATAGACAGGAAGGCTAAATCCTAGGGCTCCTTGTCCTCTGCTGAATGGTCCTCCTGCTTTCCTCAGAGCCTCCTCAGTCAACAAATCAGAAGGAATCAGTGACACTGAAGACCAAAACAACACAGAACCCAGTAAAATCCAAAGTCTTGCTCACATTGGAAAATATTTGTCTCCTGGTCAGGGATCAAGGCTTGAGGAAGAGATCTCTTGGAGAAGAAAGACAAGGGGATTTTGTGAAACTCCTGTTTGCTGGCCCTCTGTTATAAATCATTTGAGAAAGTATATATTTACACCTCTCCTCCTAAGAGTTTACCTTGCCTTTGTACAAATATCCATCTTGGATATTAGATTTTGCTCTAGAGTGAAACTCAGAAAGTCAAATTGAAAACCAACAAATTGCATCAACACAGGCAGAGCATCCCCCCATTTTATTCTGCAAGATCAGATTAATTGCTTATTTTTGAAATTTCAGAACATTTGAACTGTTTGCATAGTATAAATGAACAACTTTCTGATGAATTTGCACAAAACGAAATCTGAATAAACGCAGTTTAAAACTAATGAGATTCCTTCAACAAGCCCCTGTCTCAAATTACCCAGATTATTGCTTAAAATGTGTTTGCTTTCCAGACATCAGTTTAGTAAATAAAATATATTTTGTTCCAAAATTTCAAGTTAACCATTTGAAATGTAATCATACTCTAAGTCTGCAGTATCTCAATGGCATCCTATTTATTTATTTTTTAAGATGACGGCTTGGACAAGGATAACTTACATTAACTTTTTCGTAACCTTCTGTTACATGACAGAAGGAACCACACAGCAAAGTGTAGCTGGATTTTCATTTCATTCACTAATGCTTTTAATAAGCCCCTCAGAAATCTCTGGAAAGCAGAAGTTTTTGAATGGATGTTTTTTCCTCTTTTCCACTCTTGCAAAGATCGTGTCAGCTGAATATGACAAGATTGAGGGCTTTATTTCTTTCCTTATTTCCAGTTAAAATCTTTCTGACCAGATAGAGACACAGTGGCCCAGCAATAAGACTATGGCTGAATTTTATGATCAGGAAGAGGCCAGACACCACTTTGTCAGCTAAGAGCTTTGCTCACTGGAATGAATCATTAAATTTCTGAAGCTCGACTGAGTTGTCCAAGGGTCCATCAGTTTCCCTGATGATAAGGAACTTGGCAGTATTGGCTAAAAGGCTCGGAGATGAACAACTAAATGGGAAAACTGCTCTATGCCCTGAAATGTGATAATGTGACCTTCCTAGACAGATTCCTAGTTTAACTTTCATAATTATCAAACAGAATAATTAAACTCATCAACTCCATAGACAGCCCCTGTGCAAAACAGCTAAATGAAAAACCCCAACACCTTCCCTGCCCCTCCACCAAAAACAGCAGTAGGATATTGTGATTTACACAGAAGATAAGTGGTTTAAACTTTTTTTAAGTCAAGTTTAGGAAGAGAAATTAACCCAAGACAAATGGTGCATTTGAATCCTGTCAAAATAAAGTCAGAGCAAGGGCGTGTCCAAATTATACAACTGAACGGAGAAGGGGGTACGGGATTTTCAGACTTGAATCACCTGGATAATTGTCTCAATGCCGTATTTATTTTGTGTGTAGCAACCACTTGTAAAATAGCCTAGAATCATAGAGTACTAAAGTTGAATATGTCCACTGAGCTCATCCAGTCCAACACTATTCCCAGATGGGGAAACTGAGACCTAATGAGAGCTATGATTTGTCCTCACAGCTTTATAGTTGCACGAAGATCAGAACCTCAGATGCTAGGACCCTTCATTATGAAATACCACCTGTAAGTTCTTATTTTGTATAAATTGGACTTATGAGACAACCATGTTCTAACAGAAATATGACTTTAATATGGTCTTGAACCCAAAGAATTTCTCTCCTATCTGGAAGACATAAGAAACAAACAAATCAAATACACAGAGCCATAGGAAGAAGTAAATAATAAGCTCTGGAAGAATTCATCATTCAAGTTTGTCAGGGAGTGCATTTGCTATCAACTCAGAATCTCCAAATTCCAAAAACCAATAACAAAGGAAATCTCACAGCTCAGCAGCAAAGCTACTTTTGACTCTGGAATGAGATCGTTGTGTTCACATTGGGTCTGCCTGCATGCACTAAACTTTGGATCTTGGCTGTGTTACCATAACTTCTCTGCCATCCTCATGCAGTATATCCTCGTCTCTGTGTGTGTTTTTGTGTGTGTGTGTGTGTGTGTGTGTGTGTTTCTCATCAGTTCTGAAAAAGTTCCAACTAAAGATTTAAGACTTCCTGGAACAGCTAAGAATCCATTGTAATAATGTTTTGAACTTTGAGCCCCAGTTTTCAACTCTTTCGTTTATGTTCAGAGCCAGAGTCTTAGTCATTCTTTCACTGCTTCATGAAGGAAATATTTATTGGAGAGTTATTATGTTCCAAAACACTAGGTCAGGGGTTTAATGTTGTGAAGGTGAAAGGGGCTTGAGAAGTGAGGGACTTGGCCAAGGATTACCCAGAATAGACTCCATTCACCTACCCTGTCTGCCCAAGAGTCACTTTGTGAGCTGGAAAGTACCTTACATTTCATATCGTAGCCAACATTCTGTCAAGATCAAATATGTGCAAAAATGCAAGGTAACTGGATCTGACAGATAATTAGCTCAAAGGTTCCTTTTTAAGGTAATGTTGATAGCAAACATAAAATAATATTTGAAAATCAAATTAATGAAAATGATGTATAACTAATTACAAAGCAGGTGCCCAGGGAAACATGGAGCAGGTGCATTTCCAGCTCCATTCAGGAATGGCAACATCTATTTTGATGGTCTTTTTCCAGCATCAATAGACACATACGACTTGCTGTTTTACATTACGTATGTTCAGAATGTACATTGCTTTCATTCCCATTCCATTCCAACTAATCTTTTTAAAAGATCAGATAATCTAGTTACTAAGCACCAACTCTTATTCTTCAACAAAACACTTTAAAATGAGACTATTCCAATTGTTTCAGTACACTGTGAAGGCTACACGAATAAAGTGAATACAGTGAGCATATAGCAAAATAATAATCTCAAGAAAGGATGATTTGTTTGAAGTCGTCAAGTCCACCACAGGAATCTCAAATTCTTTGTTATGTTATATGTTTGTGAATGGAGCATACCTCCAAGATATTTTCTGATGTTCAACCAAATGCAAATAACCCAAGAAGTCATTTTGCTAGAATATCACCACAATTACAGCAGCAAATGCGTCTTTCTGCCCCTCTCATTTGTTTTAACTCTAGTCTTTGGGAATATAGTGATAGAGTCTCCATTAATGAATTCATAATTTCTATTCCTTCACTTTGCATGTCAATCTGTCTCTTATTTTATAAAATATAAATTAGTTCATTTACAGTATTGGAAAGAATTTTATAATGAAAAACAGTTGGCTGTGTGTGTGTGTTCGGGGCGGGGGGGGAGTGGGAAATCAGTAGACTGTCTTTCAATTCCTAGAGAGAAATCTTTATTTGAATTGTTTTTGTTCTTTTTACTTTTAATATTTTAAATCTGATACTAATGGACATTCGTGGAAAAGTATTAATATGTTTTGAAAAGCTCATTGTACCCTTCATATGTAAATTATGACCATATAAAGAATAGAAGACCTTAATTTGTAAACATTAGAACAGCATATATCAAGGCAGAGAGGACGGTTCCAGCAATACTTTGTCATTAATTCCTCTTAAGATTCTAAAGAATTTTTCTACCTAATTCAAATGTTCATTTTTAGTGAATATTTATTTATTAACTGAAAGCTAACAATAGCATAAAATAACTGTGTAAACAGTTTATCCAATAAAACACAGTATCATTTGATCACATTTCCAATATTTCATTTTGCCTATTAACAGCCCAAAATATGACATTCATTCTTTGAAACAATGTCACTATTTGGCACAGAAGTCTATTTACACGAGAGCTTGTTTCATTTGCCATTTATTCCAGTAACTTGAGAACAATTATTTGCAACTAAATCTAACAGTATTTGTACAAGTATTTTCAAGCTAAAATACTGCTAAAAAATTCTAACACACATGCAATTCAGTATGTTTACATAATAACATATTTCTTATAAAACCTGTGACTCTAAGCACTTTATAGGATGTGAATCCAGGAGTCACCCTATCTTCTAATGAAACATGGCCACATGTGAGAGAGGAGACGCTGCTAAGCAGAAGAGTCCTATGCTGAATTGGGTTGAAATGGGTTGGCTGCTCGGGCTGTTCAGGAATGCTGCTGCGCCATCATAGAATCGCTTGATAGCTCAACTCACACAAAACTGCAGCAGGTTTTCAAGTATAAGCCCTTAGCAACCAAGAAACTGGTAGCACAAGCGGCACACTGGCAAAACCCACTCTGATTATGCAGGTGGGCTCTGTTTTAAGCAAAGTCGGTATTGAAAATCCAAACATACAAAACAGAGAGATTAGAGAGTGATTACTTGTATTATAAAATGGTTTTCTGCTTTATAAAAGGATTCACCAGTTTCGTCTAAATGGCAGCTTCCCTAATGCATTTAAAATACAATTTGATTTACAAAACTTCAATTGACACGTGACTTTTTGCACAACCATTGTGAGAAGCAAAGTAAACCTATATACAGTACTTAATTTTCTCTCTCAGGATTTAGGTTAGTGTCTTATTGTATCGGTAAAAGACACTTAAGCCAAAATGTTATCTTTTAAGCCACTGAAATATAAAGTAAATATTGCCTCTAAAATATTGATATTCCATAAAATTGAAGTACATTGTGAATTTGTATTTACAATTTTTGGACTCATCTTTACAATGTAGATCTTTAGATAGCCCAAGTATATAGCTATCTTCAGGCCATAATATTGGGCCCTATTCTGCAGAAACTTGTTTTATTTTATTTTTGTGGGGTTTTTTCCTTTTTAGCTGTGTAACTCTAAAGAGATGTTGTAGTTACATTGTAGCTAGTCTGTTGATGATACATCAGTTTTATACTTCATTGTACAGAATCACCTTTACAAACCCAACTTCCTGCATTTCCTGACTGTTCCCACCGTTTACTCTGGGTGATTGTCACTCAGATAAGGTTCTCCTTTATTAGCACTATGCTCACTGTGGAGGGTGGGGGGAGGAGAGAGGCAGAGATCCTGTCTATTCTATCTCTGTGTCCCCTCGGCACACAGAATAGAGCCTGGCACCTAGGAAGCAAGCACTCAATAAATATTTATTGAATGAATGAATGAATGAAGAAATGATTGGATTGGGAGGATTGTCTGGAAGGCTTTCTTCACTCTAGCATCCAATCCAGTACGTTTCTGGAAGGTGTACAATTAAAATGAATTTCCAGAGTCTGAAAAATCACAGAACCTCTCGGTTGTTCCTTATACACTTTTTGTAAAATCCATGAAATATTGAGCCCTTGATGACATGCAAATATTTAGAGAAATTAAATCAGCTTAGGAGTTAGAGGACAAAGCAGAGGATATTGAAGGGTCATTTCCTTACTCACCAACTGCTGGAGTAAACTAAAAAGGCACACAGGTTGACCAAATTTGAGAACCAAATTAGACTCTTGGCAATTGTGTCCAGACTGAGAAGTGGTATTTTTGAGTGTTTCAATACAAATTTAGCCACAGGTATATTCAGAAACAGTGAAAGCAACTAATTAAGAGCTGGAATCGAAGGGAGTTACCATTTGCCATTTGTAGGGCCAGACATATAGATCTGTTCCAGGCAGGGCCAGGGGAGATCGCATTCTGTTGGCTGGAACCATTTCGCTGTGCTGATGCTCATACCCATTACAAGCTGCATGTGAAATAAAAGGAAATAGCAAAATCCAGCTGTAGGAGATAAAATTAAAAATCCTAAAATAAAATATGTTTGAAAGCACTTGAGTGGATAAAGCAAAACAATGTAGTCAGTGGGGATGCTATTAAGTTAATAAACTCAATGTTTGTAATTGCATTAGAAAATAAAGCTTCAAAGTATATGATGTGTTATGCCTTTAAATGAAATAGTCTGGACCACATTCAAACAATTTCATCTTAAAACCTAATATTAATAAAGTACAAATCTAAGAAGCATGAGAATCTAGAAGTAAACTGTAATTATTAAGCAAGAGAGTTTATGAATCGTTCTTCCAGGAGGCCTCTTTAAAATCAAGTAACTAAGTGAATATTAAGCTATCTCCATTTAAGACTAATGATTTAATGATCTATGGATGATGGCATTTTACAGGAATGAATTTACTTTCAGGAGAATAAGAACACCCAAGTGGAATCACTACATCAGTAGTTCTAGTCATGTAGTTTAAACCTAAAAACTATCTTTAACAGAGTATATATAATAATTTGCCTTCATAATCATTTCCCCAAATACCTACCTCTCTATTCCGTATTTATAATTGCACCAAATGAGAGCAGCCACAAGCGGGTTTTTGAAACTCTTTTTTATGTATAATAAGTACTTCACTCAAAGAGAAGAGAGGAGATGGTTTCCAGGAGCTATCTCCAAGTTCAACCAGCATGATACTCTTGCTCCTCTTCTATGAAATGTAAAATCTCTCTACATTACCTCTCTTGTAGATCATTTCAGCCCACCGTTTTCGACTTTGATCTAATAGATTTAATAGGAATTATGATCTCTAATCAAAGAATGAACACATTAGCTTGTCACTGTAGATATTCAGAGATTTTAGCTTGTTAGAGGCATTGTTTCCTGAACGCCCTTTACATTTATATATACACAATTACCTTCTATTGTTTAAAAAAAGCTATTTTGCACCAGTAGTTATTAATCCAAATCATTTGGATTTAAGTAATTCCTAATTGAAAGCCTATCACATGAATTGTTTATAGTGACAGACAATGTACTATTAGTCATTTTAAAGCTTTAAAAGTAAGATATCAGGATCCACTTCAATGTCCACATGATAATAAAGGATTATTATGTGCAGTACCCTATTTATGAAAAGGAAACAGTGTGCTTCTTTCAGATGCCATCAATTGCTCTAATAAGGAAGTGAAAAGCTGGACTACTTTATATGCAGATCACCATCCCAGTTGCATAAGGATTTACAATAGACAAAACAAAACGATTTTTTGTTGTAAAGAAGGGCTGTTTGTTTAAATCACAAAATAACATTTGCATCTAAAAATTATTTACAGGCGAATAGGCTTCAGAAACGTTATATAGACTTGGTTAGTTAAAATCATTTTAATGCTAAGACCAAAAGGAAAGCCTTGCTCAAGCTGACAAGGAAAAATTCAAGTAACACATGCCTCAAGAAGGCAGAAGCAACCAGATGCAGACTGTCTTGGGGTTAGGGACTCACTAATTGATTCGGAGATGCAAATAGTACGCGATATGACAGCACCCCATTAACGCTTAGGTACACTCAAGAGGAAAATGCTGCTTTCTCTGAAAATGTGAAAATTGAGAAGGATTCTGACCCTAACCTTTAATCCTAAAAGAAATAGAAAGTAACGTAGACATTTGTCTCTGCTGCCTTGAATTTGCAGAGAACTTACTTGGGAAGTTGAATCTGACCTTTGAAGTCTTCCTTCCAGGTATTTAATGGCTCCTATGTCTTTATTAAATGAGGTGTGTGGCGGCCTCTACTGGTGTGTGTTTGTAGAAAATGTTTCAATAGGCAGAAAAAATATTAATTTCAATTAAAAAGTTAGAAATACAGACTCTTTCATTTAAATATATAAAAATATCTAATTTAATGCAGAAAAAATATATTACAAGTTGTGTAATGTACTCTTAATTAGGAAAATAATCTAAAACACTGACCATGTTAGTGTAAAATAATGATTTAGGGAAGGGCATTAATTGTTCAATTCACTCTGATATTGGGTTAAATATATTTTATTAATGAATTACTAATCCCAACTGAGGTGGTTTATTACCTCTAGTCCACTGTTAAATCCCCTTAGTTGACTTAAATAAAATCACTTACAACAAACCCAGAGGAAAGGAAATATTTTACAGTTAAATCTATAAAGTCCTAGAACTAGAATCATTTGATGATAGGCTGGTTTCTATAACTCAAGCAAACTGTACGTTGACTTCATATAGCTGACATTTCAATCTATTTTACAGTGTTTTTAATTTCAAAAATACAACACATTAAAATATGTTCAATTTATCAAAGCTAAAAGCAACATTTAAGTAATGTACTTAAAGTGCAAAGGCACTTTAACACAAAGAAGTGATGCCTAGTGGCTATCTTGAAAACTGAAGACGGAAATACCATATATCATTATTTACAAAAGAATTTATAGTCTCAAAAGATCTTTGGAGATCTTCTACAAAATATCCGTTTTCATCTGCAAAGTTTGCTTACTCTTTCTTCATTCACTATAATCTCCTCTTCCCATTCCCACACTGGAAAAATAAAAGAAGAAAAAAGAAACAAAATATATGAAAAAAATGCATTGTAGAAACATTCATGTTCAGTGATGATTCCTAAGGAGAGAAGGGAAAAAAAGGTGGGAGGGGGAGAGCCAGAGAGAAATAATTTAAAGGAAAACTTGAAAAAGCAGTATCATTGCTTCACCCCATCCCCCAAACATTTGCAAAGTCCCCCACTGACGCTGAGAAAGGGCCAACACAAACAGACAGGAGAGCAAATGCAGTGCTTCCAACAGTTTGGAGCAGCATCCTCCGATGCCATAGGGTTGTAAATGATTTCCTTTCACAGCTGACTGATTGCAGTTTGTTTTTCCAGAACTTCGAGGTAGTCTGGTTCTGATTGCGGCTTAGCTTGCAGTAAAGGGTGGTCGGGTTTTGACTGCCCCACAAAGCATTTCCTGGGAGTTCCATATAAAACGGTTTTATTGATTCTGTCTTGGTTTTGGCGTCGAGATTCATACGAGGGGGCGAACTGCCTTTTAGGTAAGGTACAAAAGTTATAGTGGACTAGTCCTGCACTGGGCAGTTCCTTGACTCGCTCAGCAATATTCTGATACAGCAGCTCAGGCTCTCTTGGTGTGGCCTGCTTCTCTAGCAATTCAGTGGCACTTATAGTGTAAGCAAGTGTGGCTGGCTCTTCTTTTTTCTCCTCCAGGTTGCCGTAGCTGAATTCTTGCAGGTTTCGGTAATAGGCTACTGGGTCTCCTTCCTTCTGCATGTAGATGGGGTTTTGACACATCTGACCTACAGGTGGGGGGATGTAGTTATAGACATGGCCATCCGTTTTATCCTGAGTCTCAGTGTTGTAAGACCCATACTGTAACTGGAAGGAACTTACATCTAAGTTGTTGGCACTCCTGGGGACACTTGGCACCCCCTTTCGGCGTTTCAGGACAAAGACAAATAAACCAGCCCCAAAACAGACAGATAAGATAAAGACAACAAGCAATCCTAAAATTAAGACGGAAAGTGGAACTTCAGTGTGTAGTTCAGGATAGGAACTGGGAGACACACTAAGCGACCGAGGTGTGTCTGTGTTGTGATTCATTGACAAAATGGTTCCATCTGACAAGTTTGGACTGTCCGGGCAAATAGCCTCCCTCCCCAGAAATTTCAGTATCTCCCCTGCGTGCTTAGCGGGAGATTCACAGGTCACCTCATTGATGATGACAGGAGAATTGGCATGTTCCGTCCAGTCCTTTAGCCCCATGATGTCACAGGTGCAGTCCCACGGATTCTCTTGCAGATCTATCTGGATAAAAGCAGGGAGCTGATCCAGCACCCCTTTCACAGGCAGGTGAGAAAAATGGTTATTTCTCAGATTCAGCCTGGTGAGGGCCGTGCCCCCAAATATATTATCAGGTAAGGACCGCAGCAGGTTGTTATTCAGAAACAGTAGCTGGAGGTTAATCAAAGCATCAAAGGTCAGTGGCTTAATTTCCTTAATGACATTATACTCTAAATAGAGATACTGCAAGCTCTGCAGTCCATCAAACATAGAAGGATACAGCACTTCAAGGTAATTGCCATTCAGATAAAGTCGGCGTAAACTGGTCAGGTTTGTGAAGGCACCTTCCTGAATGACTGCAATCCTGTTGTTTCCTAAATGTAACAAATCCAAAGAACTGTATTCTAGGAGGTCGTTCTTATAGACAGTTTGAAGATAGTTCCCTGTTAGGTAGAGTTTCTTTGGACTGGTAGGTTTGGGCTGCAGGTCAGAGATATTAGTGAACTTCCTTTCTTGGCAGTTTACGTTTAGACCATTGTCTGAGCTCTGAGAGGTGCAGACACAGCTACTGGGACAGGTGAGGGGTACAGGGGACTTGGTCTGGTATACCATGATCGGTCCAAAGCTCTGCCTGTCCTTTGACACGGTGACCCGGGGAGTTGGCCGATTTCTCATTTTGGGTGGCCGGCTGGCTTTTGGAGCCCTGGTTGGGTTGAGAGCAGGATTCATTGTAGGTGACAGTCTTTGGACATGTGCGTCAGCATGGCTGCCCCTTTGACTAGAGTCACCGGTACTTTTTCTGGGACAGAGGTCTTGCCTGGTCAGTTGGGTCACATCTTTCCCATGCAATCTAAAGGGAGTTTCACAGACAATCTCCCCAACAAAAACGGTTATGGTGTCCAGCCAAGCCTTGAGAGGAAGTAAGTCACAAGTGCAGTTCCATGGGTTTTCCTCCAGCTGAATCTCCATAATCCCTCCAATATGTTCAAGGACACCAGCGAAAGGCATCACTTTCAGCCTATTCCCTCTCAGGTCTAAGTGGGTCAGCAGGACGAAGCGGAACACGTTGCTGGGCAGCGACAGCAGAAGGTTGTCATTCAGGATGAGCACTTTGAGCTTATTCAGTTTGCTGAATGCCCCTGCCTCGATGGCACTGATGTAATTGTAGTCAGCCTGGAGGTACTCCAGGCTCTCCAGGCCCAGGAAGGTGTCCTCTCTCAGCACCTCGAGCTTGTTGTTGTTGAGGTGCAGTCTCTTGAGGGTCTTTAGGCCGCTGAACGCCCCAGTTCGGATCTCCTGCAGCCCGTTGTTACCCAGGTGGAGAGTCACTGCGTTGGAGTAATTGACGAACTCGTTTGGGTACAGTCTTGTCAGGAGGTTTCCATTGAGGAAGAGCTGATAGATTCGATACTGGGGGGGCTGGAGCAGGCTGACGGTTGTAAATCCTTTGTTTTCGCAGTTAATATTCAGTACGTTTTCCTTCTCTTCGCACAGGCAGCGGATCTTGCAAATGTCTTTGGCAGTTTTGCGACTCTCCGTCCGTAAGATCCCGGCCACGGTTAACACACTGAGGAACCAAACGCCGCTCAGCATCTTTAGGCACCGTCGGTGTCAGCTCAGGTACCTACAGGCAAACCTTGGGGAGGGGGAGCGGGAGAGAGCAGGATGCGGGGGAGAAAGAAACAAGGAAGCCTGATTAAAATGGCAAAGCAAGAGGGCGGAGTGGGAGGCAGGGAGAATGCGGGGAGTGGGCCACACGGCAGAATGAAATCACTGCGTCTTTCAAAGCGGTTTCTTCTCTCCTCCCCTCCCCCGTCCCAGCCCACCCACACACGCGTCCCCGAACACATACGCTTGCACCTGATTTCCCGGCGGGTCCCAGCCAGCCGCGGAGTCATTAGTAACCGAGTTGTCCTACTAAATCCAGCCCATCTCCTCCTCCCCTGGGGTATCTTGAAGAGATCTCAGGCGGCTCGCCCGTCTTGGGCTCGCAGCAGAAATTGCTTTACTTTTTTTTTAACTGCGCAAAAAGGGGGTGGGAAAATCAGGGGACTGGCGGCGGGGGAGCGGGGGAGAATGGAAGAGGAAAGACAGAGCCGGGTGGGGGTTACTCACACATCAGGAGAAGACGGGACCCCTCTCCTCTGTAGTCCGCCAGTAGTTTAGCATCTTCAGAAAGAGAGGGAGAGCAAGGTAAAAGGAGACGCCGCGTCCAGGGGGATGCCCCGCTTTCCGTTGGTTGATTTAATTTGGCTGGGGGTTGCGCGGAAATTAGAAATCCGGCAGGCAGCAGGAGAGATAGAGGAAGGTTCGAGCGGCGGGAAGCGGAGCCGACGGGAACCCGGGGTGCGATTGCGCAGGGAGGTGGGGGAGCCGGCCGGCCCGGTCGGCGGGCGGCGGCGACGGCCGAGCCTGGGCGCGCGCTTCCAATCCGGTGGCAGCGGCAGCAGTGCGCCTAGCAGTTTGAATTTGAGAGGCTTTGCAGGCTCCCCGGGACAGGGCTAGGGTGACGTCACGGGGGAAGGGGGCAGGCAGTGGATCGAGGGCGCGCGGTGGGGGAGGGAGGGGCAGATGCTTCCCTTCCCTGCGAGTGGCTGTGCAAAGCTCAAATCCGGGCTGCGTCAGTTGATTCTAAACTACTCCACCTCCAACCCAACCCTGCGGGCGGCGAGCGACTGGCGAAGCTCCTGGAGAGGGGTTCTCCAGGAGGGGCCCCGCTAAGGGGCTCGCACCGGCTGGCCTCCTCCAGCCCCTCCGAGTGGTTTCTTCCACCTGCCACTCCCTCCTGGCCATTCCTGGGGGGTCTCATTACAGATTCCCAAGCAGGGGTCCAAATCTGCCCAACAAGGGGTGTGTGTGTGTGTGTGTGTGTGTGTGTGTGTGTATGTAGAGATGTGCCTCTTTGCTATAGAACTGGGGCCCGCTTGCCTGCCAGCTTCCTAGCTCAGATGCTCTTGGTGCGCAGAGTGGGGTGTGTGTGCGCACCAGTATGTCTGTGTAGGAGGGCGAGGAGTTCTTCTAGGGGATTTATGCTTTACATACAGAGCTTTGTTTCAGTGCTGAGAGAGTTACTTTCTGGGTGGTGACTGGCCAAACATATCTGTCTGGATTGGGAAAGCCAGCTCAATGTTAGCTTATAGACTGAGATAAAGAACAACAAAACCCTTCTCCCCCCTGAGGTTTTATACTTAGTCAGATAATGAGGTTTAAACGTGTGCTTTTTGCCTGAAGGAAGGAGAAGAAGAGTGGGTGTCAGAAAGGCACTGCCAGGCTGAGCCTCAGCTGGGCGTGGGAGCCCACGGAAGGGTGCCTAAGCTCTCCAGGCTGCAGGGGCAGGGGGGCTAGGAGAACAGGAGGCCGAGATGCAGGCAGACTGGCTCCTGAGAAAGGAAGGAAAGCTGAAGGGAGTCCTGGCCTGAGACACAGTAGTCTTGGGTTCTGATCTAGCTCTGTTGCCAGGTATGTCACTTGTTTCTGGATCTTCCCGTCCCCATCGGCAGAAGAAGGTGGACTGTAAGGGCCCTCTGTGCTCTGACATTCAATCGGATTCAGATAATCTTTCCATAGCATTATTAATGGCCAGGCGTTGGGTTTTTGCCTTCATTATCTCGTTTCTCCTTAATTATATCTTAAGGTCCCCTGGACCCAGGAGTCTCCCAGTGTGGAGTCCATTTGCAAGATGTAAATGTCTGTTGTTGCCGGGAGGACCAGGGGCTGTCTCTGGTGGGGATGGGGGAGTTGAGGCAGGAAAAGGAGGAAATGAAAGAGAGTAGTAAAAGGAATCGACCAAGCCATGTGCCTGTCCTGCAAAATCTTTCAGCTTGCTTTCCTCGTCCCTTCAGTCCCACCCTGCTGCAGGCAGAGTCAACACAGGGCCCCATTGCTGGGCCAAAGGTGGATAGAGAGGATCACATAGGCAAAATGAGCCCTCTGAGAGCGGAAAGCCCCCTTGCTTCTCCCCTCCTCCTTCCCTGTTCAGCTCAGGTCCTAGAATTGTTCAGCTCGCACAAGCTCTTTCCTCCCCAAGGACTCAAGATAGTTTATAAACTTAGGCACTAAGGCAACCTGTGGCTCTGGTAGTCTCCTCTGGAACTTTTCTCGGGCTTTCTCCTTCCCCCCTCCTTTTCCTTCCAGGAAGAGCCTTGGACCAGATATCATGAGTCCCATGCCCATCCTCTAAGTCTTGCTCCGTCTTGGGCAAGATGCTTTCTTTCTGGGGCCTCAAATTTTCCTTTTCTATGTCAAAGAGCAACATTGAGATGAGCTGTCCTCAGAGGGGGAGGGGGCAGCTCTGTGATAGCCCCCCACTGTCTATTGCAATTGCATCATTAGGTGCAAGCAGCGTGATGCAGTGTGAGCACAATTCAGCTACCTTTCATAGGAAAGGGGCATTTGTTTCTACATATTTCCAAATATTAAATATACATAGTTCCTAGAGAGACATGGTTTATTCATTGTCATTCATTTAACAAACATTTATTAATTAGGTTAATATTTCATTGAATTGGAAGCCCTTTGAACAAGGGCTGTACAAGACCTTTGAAATTATTCATTTTATAGATGAGGACATTCCTCAACCAGGGGAAGTGCTGACTTGCTTAAGTTCAAGAATCTATAAAATTAGACACAGAACCCAGGGATTCTGAGTCCCAGTCCAGCAGCTTTGCAAAAAGCTCACTACTGCTTAATATGAATTACAGAAGAACTATCTACCCAAACGTAAATAGTGGTGGTGGTGTTTTACCTAAATGTGTCTTTTTTAGAAATTGTATTTGAAGGTGAAATATCAAATTTTAGTTTTAGTTCTCAAATATAGTAATTTCCTTCGAGACATAGTTGAATTGCCGCTGTCAATACTCCCTGAGAACAGAGACTATTTTCTTAGGAATTTCAGAGAGAGAGGGAGAGAGAGAGAGCTTGGGGAGGGAGCTGGGGGCGCTTGAAATTCTTGACAGTTACAGAGTGAGGGAAATGTGGCGGTAAGCCGGCTGGGGGGAACGACGCTGGGGACCGTAAAGTGCTGTGGCAGATCTTCCTTCCCTGGTTAGCTTCCTACACAGGCCGGTGGACCCTCTCACCCCTCCTCCGTCTACTGCCTGTCCCTGAGCTTCCACAGCTGCTTTCCCAAACGTGGTTCTTGGAACGACTCAGCCTCCACCCCGGTACAGTACTTTAAGTAAGTTTCCTTTGGCCCCGCGTCTCAGGGGAACCGCCGCAGCACGCCGCTAGGAGAGCGGGCTTTTAAGGCGGTGGGGAGGTTCTGGGTGAACTGGGAGCCCAAGGGAGGCAGAGGCGGACGCTAAAATAAGGCACACGCTCCCCGGCCTCGCTAGGGCGAGGGAGGCATAAACGAGGACTTCGTCGCCTCAGTCTCACTTGCATCTAACCGAGTAGAGTCCGGCTCGAGTCGCCAGGGCTTCCACAGGGCGCGGTGAGTGCCAGCGGGCGGAGAGGCCCCCTTGCCCCGGCCGCCCGCAGGCCACCAGGGGGTTAACAGCAGTCCGGCAGGGATGCGGTGGTGCGGTGGGGGAGGGGGGGTGGAGGGTGGTTTCTGCTGCCAGCCCCCGGCCGCCTTCTCCCATTGCCGGTTGAATGCCATTCCCGAGGTACTCTTCCGGGCGACCAGAGAGCTCGGCGAGTACCCTGTCGCCGGGAACCGGGCACCGGCCGCTAGCGCAGCCCTACCTGCCCTCCTCCTTGTTGCTAGACGCCCGGTGCCCGGCGTGGGGGCCCGTAGCCTCGACGGCCACGCGCGCTCCCCTCGGCCCGGTCCTGGGAGCCGCTCGCCGGCGGAGCCTTCTCTTCGGGAGCGGCAGCCCGCATCGGACGCGTGGCCGCCCGTGGCGGCGGGGACCGGGGGCTGCGCTGCGCCCAGAGCCCACGCCCGCGAGGACGGTCCCGGGGCTAGCGGCCCGGGCGGGGGTGGCAGGAGAGGGCGGCGGGCGCGCAGTCTTCCCACGCCCGTGCCCTCCGCGAGGGAGGCGGCCGGGGAGGCAGAGGGCCGAGGGAGCCACCTCGCCGGCCTCGTCGTCACGGCGTTCCCGAGCGCTCAGAACTTACCAGCGAGCGCGCAGCCCGGAGCTTTCCCGGAGGCGCCCGCAGCATCCGCGACCCAGGGAGGCGCGGGAGCCGGCACAGCCTCGGACTGGCGCGGCCCAGGAGCGAGGGCACGGCGGCGAGCCGGCGGCGCCCCTAGGGCAGGCAGTTCCCCACTGGAGCAGCTCGCCGCCGGGCAGCGCTACTGGCAGGAAGGAGGGAGGGAGCCGAGAGGGAGGAGGGCAGAAGAGCGGGAGAGAGCAAGAGGAGGAGGAGGAGGAGGGAGGGACAGCGGCCCCTCTCCCGCACTTATCAATCACCCCGCAGATCAAATGTCCCCGCTGTGCACCCGGGAGGGGGATGTACCAGCCCACAAAGGAGCCGCTGCTCCATTTCTCTGACAAGCGCCGCGGAGCGCTGCTCACGCCTCTCGGCCCCTCTTGCCTGGAACTCTGCCCAGCCCTTGCAGCTTCCACCGTCGGCTGCAGCTCGGACTCGGTCAAGTGAAATAAGGATGGCACCCGGTCGGTACCACATCCGAAGGGAGCCTAAGACCACTGGGTGGAAGTTATGGACAAGCGAAAGAGCAGCCAGCCCTCTGAGCTGGACACCCTCCGGGAGGGCTGCCTCCCGTAACTAGTAAGCGCCCAATCATTGGAGTTCGCAGGCAGATCTTTAAGGACCTCCTACGAGGATGGTAAACAAGGAATTTCCATATAATATAGAGCTGAGCTACACTTGTACAAATGTGTTAACAAAAGCAAGCCCTTAGCAGTGTTCCAGTCCCTGTTTTAATTTGATTCTTTCTATTCTTCACCTCATTGTCTGGAACTACCTCCTTTCCCCTTCCTCCTTTCTTTTTCCTCTTATTAGTAGTCCAGGTGGTTGTGATTCGCTTAAAGGAAGGCGCTCAGTGACAGAGTCACTGTAGTTCGAGAGGGCGGTGCGGCTTGGGCCAAGAGCGTTGCAGTTCCCCTCAGGACCTGCTTTCCCTAGGGCCTCTCTTCACTCTCCTCGGGGGATTCGGGACAAAGTTGCAGCTGTATTAATTTAAGCCAAATTTATTTGATGGCATCAGGACATTTCCCCCTTAATCCCGGAGGAGAACAGCCTTAATGAAAGTCATCACTGTCCCCTGTCCTTTTCATAACCCCTCCAGAGTCTGTAAAACCCCCAGTTCTTCAGAATATCCACAAGCTCCATGGGAGAATAGAAAGGGAGGCAAGGAGAAGGTGCAAAATTAAGAGCAAAAATTTTCTCTCCTGCTAATGAATCTGCCCCGCATTTGTCTGTTTTCAAGGTTATTTCCTATACATTTAAACCAGGTTCTCACAGCACGGACTTCCACCTCATTCTTGTCCTTCCTCTTGGGAATCTTTTGTGCTTCTTCCTTCTCTTCTTCGCTTTCTTTTCATAACAGTTTTCTAAGGAGACCATGCTGGGCCTTTTTAAAAGAATATTACTGATAATCTTATGTTATGAATATAGGCAGAGTTTACTTTAGTAATAGTCCAAAGGATTATCTCTTATAATATCTCTGAGGTTTTAAGGGTCGTTCCTGTTCGTTTTACTTCATCCCCGAGAAAGCCTTTTTGAGATTTACCTGCCTTTCAAATAAGCAATTTCAGGATCACACAGTTCTCACATTTGCACGTGGGCAGAGTGTTTACCGGTACTGATTCAGATACATCGCCCCACTTTGTTAAGATCCTTATTTGTGTAAAACATCCACCATGCTATTTGCTGCAGACTGTAACGGCGGCGGGGCACATCGTGTTGTTACCAACTTAGAACAGTTCATGCTGTTTCCTCTCTGTCTTTACCTCATTTCTGACTGTGTCATCTTTTCATGTAGTTATTTAATGGGTGCTGCAAACAACCACCCAAGCCAGAGCTGAGAGGCCTTTCAAAGGCAGAATTAATGAGACAGTCATGCTGAAAACAGGAGACAGTTGTACTGAGAAGGATGGTGTGTCCCTAGCCAAAGGGAACATACAAAACAGCAATGTGCACAGATTGCATGAGGAATACCGTATCAATGGTAAAAACCGACATTATAGTTTGCTCCAGTAGAAACATGTAAAATATGGCATGCATCAATTGTAATTAGCCTTGTAAGCAAAGCTAACGTGTTTACCAGCCCTCAGAGAAGCATTTAGCAGCCTCCTTTCCACACGGGACAGCACTGAAGTAAGTTACAATGAGAAAGAGCAGGGTTTTCTTTTTGTCAGCATAAAACGTTCAAGTAGGTGGGTGGCGATTTTGAAAGGTGTCCTGAATGCACACAAACAAAAAATGATGAGCCATACAAAACTTCCTTTGAGGGTTGTTGCATAGATAATTACAGTAGAAGAGAGCCTGAAGTGTGTGAAAGTTTTAAATGTACCGATTGATTTGAAAGCTGCTTTATACTGACTTTTCCAAAAGTTTTTGTTAGGGAAAATTTTCTGAAATAACTGAAAATTAAAGACATGCATATTAATTCACTTTGTTAATTAATAAAGATGGCATGATGAGTTCTTTGGTGTAGTGGTATTGGAAGTGTATCTCTGTGTTTGTGTGCTGTTCTCTATTGATTAGCTCACATTACCAAAGGCCTTGGAGATCCGTGCTTGTAATGCTATTGGGAAAAGAGAGAAATAAAATTAAATTTTCCTTGCGTTTTTATAATTTCTTTCTAAGCTTAGGAGAAACTCAGAAATTTCATCTAGGATTAATTTAAAAATGTGTATACATTTCTAAGATGATGCAAAAGTTGTCCAATTGCTATGTAGTACACAGTTTGCCTGAGTTTGCCTCCACCTTCTACATACCTACCCAGAGCTGGCAAGCTTTAAAAAATAAAAAAAAGAGGACAAAGTAGAAATGTTATGTAGAGTCAGTAATTCTAAAACAGATGTTTTCAGAGAATACTGTCCCTTTTGAACCAAAGGGCGAAGAAGAGTTCAGGCAGAGACAGACAAATTCCTAAATAAAGAAACGCAACAGAGGACATGCCATTAATACCAGTAATTATAGTTTAAAGGATATGTAGAGTTTGGTTCTTGATGCTATTGAAAGTGTGGATATTTTTAACTCTAATTCAATTATTTTGATTATTTTGGCAAGCACGTTGGCCTGGTTGGAACAGTGCTGGCCCAGGACCCAGAGTAGTTTGTCTTTTGATCAAACACATATTGAAACCCTGGAGACCAAGGACCTGGGTTCAAGTCCCACCTCTGCTTCTTACCGCAGAGGGGCTTGAGCAGGCACTGCGCCTCTCTCATTTCCCGCCCGTGTAACGCTGGGGATTAGCACCTGCATGTGCAGTCACTAAGGACGGCATTCACACAAAAGCCCTTGATAATTGTGCCGTGGTCTACATAGGTGAGGGGAAATCTTGAAGTGAGGGATTCCTAAACTCACTTCTTAAGATCAGTAAATTGTATAAAACAATGATTTTAGTGAGAAAGCAACATTTGAATTTAAATTGGGTAATAGAATCAGGATTAAAAAGTTACCTGTGATTCTAGTTGGAGCAATATAATGTCAAAGATTCAAATGAAAACTTAAAAACATTCTGTCTCTTCTCTAGCATTTTCCAGATAGTTGGATCTCTGTATATGTATGAGAGTTTCTCAACCCCGACACTGTTGACATTTCGGACCAGAGAATGAGTGGTCGTGGTGGTCGTGGGGGCTTGTTGTGTGCAATGTGGGGGGATTAGCAGCATCCCTGGCCTCTACCGCTCTCCAGTCGCACCAGCATGCTGTATATATATATATATATATATATATATACACATAACATGTATATGTATATGTTCTCTATATATGTTATTTGTTTTATGTATACATAGTATATGTGTGTATGTGTATAAACACTTTATGTTTAACACTTAAACAAATTGAAGGAACACAACGTACATAATATACATTATGACTTAGCAACAGAGCAAGAGCAAGGACCTGGGCTCCTGATGCCCTGCTTTGTGGTCTGCTACCTTGTGCAGCCTGGCAGCTCTTATGCCCCAAGGACCATCAATGGAGGCAGGCAATGTGTATTGGTGCTGCTCTTCAGGAAGAAATGTATTTTCCATCGTGACCCAGAGAACAGTCAAGGGTTGAACCACGAGTTTCTGAAACAATATTACCCTTGTCATAGCCATGTACCCTGAAATACTCCATTGTAGTTGGTTTAAAAAATTGCAGGCTGTGAACTGCTAAATTGATTTCATGAGTGACTAATAGGTTGTATCTCAGTTTGAAAAACACTGACATTCTGGATCGTGCAGGGGAGGAAGGAAAAATGGGACAGAACAGAGAACAGGGGCAATAAAGAAAAAGGAGAAGAAGAGAAATAGAGAAAAAAAGAAGTGCATGGGTGGGAGGTTATGGAAAAAGTTCTGGTGCTCAACCTCTTGTATCAAGTGTCCCTTAGAGATGGCACCTGCTCCCTCCGGCGTCTAGAGCTCCCTCCCTGTTGATTGAGTGGAGTGATTCATCCGTGAGAACCATATTTAAGTTTACTGGACTTGGGAGTGAATATACACGGCCAAAGCTGCAGATTTTACAGATAAGGCTTAGAACACCATTAGTAGGTATTTCATTTATCCTGACACATTCCATCCTATTAATCTCCCTGCAGCTGGAAGTTATATTTTGGTCTGGAGTTACAACCTAATGCGTTCAGGAGGAAACCAAATTTATTGGGTTTGACATTGCACATTATTGGAATGGTATAATGCAGTGGAGCCTCTGTACTAAGTTCTGTTGATTTTATTTATGTATTTGTGTTTGGCTAGTATAAATATATGGTAAAGTATGTGCTGTGGTAGAGAGTTTAATGCTGACTCTGCTGGAACATTCAAAAATGTCTGCACACAAGACACCCAGTTGTAAAGAGTTACAGCCAGAAGAACAGCTACTAAAGATTTGCATTAAGTATTTCTGATTTTTAAAAAAGTCATCATTTGTGAAGCGGACTAGGCTATTAATATTCAAAAATAGCAAGGATGACACACTCCAGATCTACCCTGAAGTTGTGACTTGCACAAAATGAAGCAGGGTTTAGAAATTGAGGGTTCAGAGGGAGGTGAGTCATATGTAGAAAGTAAATAAAATCATTTTCAAGTAGTAGCTGGCTGCAGCGTTCAACCATCACTGCAAATCAATGAGAGGAGAATTTTTTTTTTACCTTGAATTTTGATGATTTATTATGCAGATGTGCTATCACTTCTTTTATTTTCCTTCCATTTTTCATCTTCCAAGAAGTTTCCTAAGTGACTTTACAATGACACCTAGCACACACCCATATTACCTGATTATTACAAATGAGGTCACCTTTAAGTCAAATGTAACGGCCCTGGGACATGTGTCAAACAAATTTTGCATCTGTCTGTGGTTGTATTGTGATTCCTAGGCAAATTAAAAAGGAAAAAAAAGCTTCAAATTTCATGACACTTTTGATAACCTAAATATCCCTGAAGCTCTCTCAGAAAAATAGCCTGAAATCTATCTGGGGTGGAGGAACCATATGGAGTTTCTCAAAAGCACTTTGGGGCAACCCCAGGAAACCAGGTCAAAACTAGAGGCATGATCATCACCAGGTTTGTCCTCCACTCTGGGCATCACCACAGCAACTCAAGTACCATAGTGAGATCAGTGTCACTTTACTAGTATTTTGAAAGGAAGCAAAAGGAAGCTCATTTATTGCTACACATC